CAAATCCTTAACAAATTTCCATTTCTTCTATATAAACTGAACAATCCTTAAAAATCCTAACAAAAACCTTGTTATTCTTACCACCAATGTTGCCATTCCTCTCTTTCCTCTTCACATCCTCATTGAAATATGCATGATCCCTAGAACTATGTTTGCTTTGATTGTATGATTCTATCTTGAACTTCTCGGCGTAAGAGAATCTGAAGAAGAAAGTAGGTGAATAAGAAGAAGACAAAGAAACAACGATCGGAATTCAGAATGGTTGTATCAAAAGAACCGGTTGAGAAGAGCAATTTTTGGACAATATGGAATATGGATTTCGGTTGTTGTTGTAAAAACATCTCATGAAATAAGAGGGGGAGATATATTAGGACGACACGTGGGAAGGAGGACTCGAACAGTTTGAATATTACCCAGCAGAGAATCGGGGCACGTGGGAGGTTAACAGCTTTGAGAGTTGTAGATTGTCTAACAAAATTAGTACACTCTTAAAATTCAACAATAAATACTGATTAATCTGCTTTGTAATATAATATAGATAGTATAAATCATATAGATAAGGGTAAAATATGAAATTTAAGAAATATGAAATTTAAGAAATATAAAACAAATTAAACATATGTTTTAAAAATAAGTCACTACATATTTATGATATTTAATAATATGATTAAATTTAAAATATTCGATTTTGAACTCACTTTGAAAGGATTGATGAGACGATTATAATGATATATTTATAAAAAAAAGAAATGTATTTTTAATGTATTTTAGTTCCTATACAATTATTCATGTTAACATGATAATGATATAAAATAAAATATATAAAATAAATTAAATAAATAATTGTAAGAGTATAAAGTATAATTTAAAAAATAAAAAATTATTTGATTTTTAATAGTATCTTGAGATCGTGGAGGTTTGATGGAGGTTGTGTGTTGTCCAACTTTAAATTTTACATTAAGGGGCCGTTTACCAAACACTTACCCAATAAGCATTTATCGATAAAATTTAATACTATAATAAACTTAGCGGGTAATATTTTAATCCACCAAAACGATATCGTATGCAAAATTTACTCGGTAACTGCTTACCATGATAAGAGTCGTCACCCTCACTTACTGGATAAGACTCTTGGTACTTACCTCGCTCTTACCGGGTAAGATTTTTGGTCAATACCATATTCATTCGATAAGATAATGTGACTTGATGTTCACTTACCCAAGTAAACATTTGGTAAACGGCCCCTAAGATTGTAAAAGAAAATTAAAAAAAAAATAAAGGATATAGAACAAATTAATACACAACTATAAGGTATAAAATATAAGTTTTAAAAATAATCTACTACATATTTATTATATTTAACAATATGATTAAATCCAGAAATATTCAATATTAGAATCATTTTGAAGATAGTGACGATTGACGAAACAATTATAATTGTATAATTTATAAAAAAAAATTAATTCATATACGATTGTTTATGTTATATGATAATGGCTAAAATGAAAAATTAAAAAATAAGGGGTATAAAATATAATTTAGAAGTAAAAAAATGATTTGATCACAGGAGACGTGAGCAAACTAAAGTGCACCTCTTAAAAATTTCAAAGTAACTGTAAATCTTTTCTTTATAACTAGAATGGTATTTGCGTAATGCAGCGAGATATATCTCGATTTTGATGTTTCGTTTTATTCATTTTCTCTATCAATATAATACAGTTTTATGTGGGTTTTAGAAAACGATAATATTTTTAATATTTGAATGAAATATAAATTTGAAAAAAAAAATATCGATATCAGTATTAAATTAATTATTTAAAAGTTTTCGTTTTTCGTGTAATTTCTTTAATTCAAATTATATTTAATATCAAATTAATATATTTTTGTTTAATAATATAATTAAGTATTTGTTAAAACTCAATGATTATCTTAATTATATTTTAACTTTTTATATTTAAGAAGTGATGTTTATCATGTATTTGATTATGTTTATCTACAGTTAGTAACACGAATTCAAAAATAGAGCTTTAATAAGTTGTACACATGCATAATTTACTTGTAATATTAAACTTTAAGTATTATGCATCAATAAACCATACATTATGTATAAAAAATAATTTTTATGAGTTTTTATCAAATGTTTTATAATATAGTATAGATAATATAGATAAGTCAAAGAATCTTAATTAGTAGTAGACCATAGCAACGTGTGGTAAAACACGAGTTTAGGGTTAGTCTTGGCGCTCAATGTGATACGGATAATATTATGAGAGAATTTATAAAAAAAAAATAAAAAAATTAAGATGATATAATATATTTCTTGAAATACAAATATTTTTTTTAATTCTTAAATTGAAAAGCAAAGAAATACAAAATATTTAAAAATAAAAAAAACGTTATAATAATAAAAAAATATTAATGAGCATATGATAAAATAAGCTTAAAGATATATCAAAGCATATACACAATACGTACAAGATATCTTTACTAAAAATTCCTTCAAAATCTAAATCTACTCTTAAAACTTGCTCAATCATATTGTAAAAAGAATTGGATAATATGAGAAGAATAAAGTTGGAGTTTTTTGTAACGATTTTATCAGTACGAAACACGTAAAAAGTGGATTTGGAGTTTACTTCATTAAAAACCAAGATTTTGCACTTCTTCAACCGTTGTTGAAAAACAGTCATTTTCATTTTGGATACTCAAAACCCGTAAATGAGTTTTTCGGATATGTTATTTAGTTTCATTGGAGATTGATACACATATTTGATGAGTCATCTCTTTCAACATTTTATTTGTGAATTATATTTTGGATTTCGGTTTGCTTTTTGTTTTTGATTTGAGTCCTTTTCGATTTGCTTGTTGATTTGGGTTCAGATTCGTCCTCATTGGTTGTATTCATGATCTTTAGGTTTTTTGGTTTGTAAGGATTTTGGTTTTTCTGTTTGTTGGATTCGTCTGGAAAGACGACCGGAGGAGGGTTGGTTCACGGTACACAACTGCAAAGGAACAATATGTGGATCATGACTATTTGTAAAGAAGCTATAAAAGATATAGAAATAGTGTTTAGGGTAGTGTCGTTATTATTTGTGGTTCATATCATCTGAAAAGATACATAAAGTTTGATTGAAAATAGAAAATTTCAATCATAAAAAAAACGAGAGAATTAATGTAATCTTGGCTTATTCAATTAATATCACATCTCATTTAATCTTATCCACATGATGTATGTGAATGTGATAGCACTTCACTTATGAATCATTTCTTAAAACCATACCAATATTATTATACATCTTAATTTCCAAATTAAACCATTTTCTTCACAATAAACATGGTTTCATAGGATATTTTTTACTCTTTTATTTAAAGAAAAGTGTGCTTATTTATTTATAATTTCACTTATTACCTTTTTCATTTATTTAGGTAAAGTTGATTACAAAAAATCCTAACCGGCTTCATACGGAACTCGGTTCTAATGACAATCCATGTGATAAAACAATTTTTGGCTCACTCAAACGGGAGAGCGTCGAAACCCATACCTATCTTGTATTTAAGCAAAGTCTCAATTTATTCCAAAAAGAATTATAACAAGAAATCATGCATTTTTAACATGTTCGAGTATGGGTGTGTGTGAACTATGAATTAATGAAATACGTGTTTCCATCTTCTAAAAGTGAATAGAGTTTAGTTTATGTTAAATTGATATAAAACCTTTTTCACACGTTTGTCTCAACATTTTTCTTTCTAACTTGATAATTAATATGAAATATTCACGAAACTCGTTTTGCCATTTTTATCGGAAATAAAGGATTTCTAACAAGAGCTAATTGCATATTTATATATAAAATATAAAATAATAATATTATAGTTTCACATGTGAATGAATACTTGATTCATACATTCATGTATTATTAATAAAGACTCAATTCTTTATGTAGTACCAATTTAGATTTAAATGTGAATAAATATTGTCACACTTATAACATTCTAAATTCACATGGAAATGAATACTTTAATTCTTATGCGAGTGACCCGATATGAATTACATATTGAATAATTTTCACATATTCACATGAATATTAAAGTTCAAGTTTGTTAGTAACATTTACATGTGAATACAATGATCAACTTTTTTAAATGTTCAATTAATCAATGGATAATTTGCATAAAAATTTAATCTACTTCGTTCTCGTTCCTGTTTAAGTAACATTTTTAAAACTTTTATTTTGGTACTTATGATAAAAAATTTTAAACATTTAAGTAACCGGTTTAACTCTTAACGATTACCCTGATGACGTAACATACAACTCAACATTATTCGATGAGGGTGGCTGTTGATCTTGATTTTATTATATAAAATAATTATAAAATCTAACTTTATTTAAAATTCTATTAAACAATTAAAATTTTGTTTCATATATAGAGGACAAAGTAATCATTTCCAAGAAAACAACCATCTTTTCCACTTCTAAGTACCATCTCCATCTTAGGTACAATAACTATCTTTTTCCGGTACATCTCCGGTAACCGTCTTTCGTCTCAGATAACCATCTCCGTCTTTCGTCTCCGATAACCATCTCCGACCTTCATCTCAGTGGCGTCTCGTGGATGAGAAGAGAAGTTTAGTTGGATTAGAACTATGAGCAACCCATGTGTGACAAGACCAMAACCATGTCAGCACGTAATCAGTTAAGGGTCAAACCAGTTATCAGATACTTAAAGGTTTGAAAATTTTCATCTTAGGTATTAAAATGAAAACAAAGCAGGTTATATTTTTATGCAATTTATAAAAGTACGTACGATAATGATAATGTTAAATTAAAATGAACAAACTCATTTTTTGGTTATAATGTGTTTAGTTCTAACTTTTGTCAAATTTGTTGAAAAGAATTGTTTGGAGAAATCTTAAAGGTTTACACATCCCAACCTCTTTATTTATACACAAATACTTTCAACTTTGAACAACAAAATCAAATGGTTAGCAAAACACAAAACAGTTTGGAAAATGTCGACTCAATTGAAACAAAACTAAAAAAAACAAAGATTTTCCAATTACAAACTACATACAAAAGCATCGACAGTTTTTAACATTACAACACAGATCCTCTCTAATGTACACAATCCACCTACTTTCATTCTTCCATTTAGCTTCCTCAATTCCTCATTACAATCTGTCATCTGTTTTGATTTGTTTTGTTTTCCGATATTGGCCCGAAAACCCGACTGACCACTCTCTTATCGTGGCAAAACTTTCATGCTGCATCCCCCCCTCCCCCTCCCAATCTCTACACCCCAACCCATCTCACCCATCTGAACATTTTTCCCACTCTGAATGGTAACCCATAGTCTTTGGCGACAGCAGGCTCCCTACGAGCCGCTTCTGGTTCAGACCACACGTATACCCCTCGTTCCTGCCTACTCCCAGGCACCGTGTTGTCCAAAACTACAGCTACTAAGAATGCTACCACCATGTGGAACGACAGCAGTGTGTTCATCACATAATTTAACTGTAATGTTAAAATATAGGGTTCATCAGAGTGATATAAGCATGCATGATTAAAGAATAAAGGTTTTGAAAGTGGAGAAAAATACTTGCCCCTCTGTATTGTGAGCGGAAAGGACCATGAGAGGCAACAATGTAAGGCTGGAAGTAAGCCGGAACAGGAGAATTGGAATTTGGTGAGAGACCGTATTGCTGAAAGTAGGCCGGAACTGAAAGGGAGAAAAACAGAGAAAGTCCAATGATGATGATGTTCCGGGAGCTACCAGCTTCGCTGTAACGTAAATTTGACAAACCCAATGCTGCGAGCATGGCCCACATAATGCATAGCAAGCCTGCAACCATCACTTGAGGGATTGATGCAATTAACCCTCCTACTTTACCTGTCAGTACATGTACATGGATGAGAGATGAAAAGATATTTCAATTTGCCATGTACTAAAAACCACATAATTAAAATCAGGGCAAATTGCATAAATATGCAATGTGCTTCGATTTGGTTCCTATTTTGTGTAATGTACCTTCAAGACCTTCATTTTGGTATCTAGTTTACATCTAAGAATGCAATGAGAACGGAATGTACTTTGGTCTGATTCTCATTTTGTGTAATGTACTATGGTTTAAATGTTTTGAGATATCAAAGCGAAGGGTTTGAAAGAATGTTGCACAAAATAGAAATTGGACCAAACTATGATGCATTTTCATGTAATTTGCCCATATATTAATTACAAGTTTTCTTAATGAAACATGGGCTGCATTTTTCATCCAGAACACCACTAGGGCCAATGTTAATTAGAAATGATTTGTTATTATATAGCTTGAAAACTTTCAATCAACAAAGACATACCTACTAGGGACAATATAATCAAAACACATGCTCCCAACTCAACGGCTCTGCGACTGCCCATTTTAGTGACGGCAATTGTGTGCACATTTTCAGTCAGAGAAGTTGAACCTGTTCCAGTTCCCCACAAACCAGCCAAGATGCTAGACAGACCTTCAAGACCAATCCCACGACTTACAACACCTGGAGTGGGAGGCCTAGATGCCACCAATAAAGATGATGCATGGTATGAGCCAACCTATATGACACCACACTTTCAGAAATTGTATAATCACCAAGAATTACTTGTTGGGTCAGCTAAAAAGTCAGATTTGGAAATAGTTAGATGTTTCCAGCTTATTATACACAACAACATTATGAATTCTACATATGCTACTCTCCCTGTCCGGAGCAAATTTTACACTCATTTTTGGGATGCCATAAGCAATATGTACATTCCATCTTTTGACCATTTAGGGAACATCACATCTCCTAATTATATGTAAGGCATAATGAAACAAAAGTCTGAAAATGGATATGTATTGTGGATATTTTCATGCGTTTTTTTCAAAAGATCTAGACATCTATGATGGGTAATAGAGATAAAATACCGATGCAATATGTTCTGAAGTTTTTCTTACAAGTAACATATGCTACAGAGTACAGATATTTGAACAGACAAAGTTGGCTGTAAGAAAAGGATATGAGGAACTACTGCTTGAAAGAAATAAAGCCTTAGGTACAACTTTACATGTGTGAATATATAAAAACACATGAATACAAGTTATACAACAGGCCCTCAAAATATTTTATTAGTTCGAGAGCTTATAGAGGCTGGCGCATACAATTAGCCTGTGTTTCCTCTCTGTTATTCTTTGTTTTTTCTTCTATGTTCCGATTTATTAAGTTTTTAGTTTGATTTTGGGGTGGCGTGGAGTAGGATTGGTATGCACAATCCGGCATGTAGAAATCATTTGGCAATTTGTCATTCTTCCTTGAATATTTGTAACTACTATTATATGAGATCCCACATTTTTTAAACTAAACATGAAAAGTGAAATACTATATGGTAAAACTGCCACAGTACAAAATTTAGCACAGGTGCAGTTGAGAGGGAGCTTACAGAGTCCACAGAAGAAATAACAGACACCATGCACATTACGAGAGCCATTTTCCAGTTGAAAACAGGTGTGCCCCATTGTAGTGGGTATGGAAATCTAAACCATGGGGAAGATTTCAAGGCATGGGAAGTATCAACTCGACAACTCTTCATCCTGGCAACATGTTTTCTGCAGTGATCTGATATCATATTTGAGGTTGGTATGTTCACATCACAACCATCATACTTATAGGCTCCTGCCTCAGTCAGAAGGAAAGCCATAGCCCATGTAATAACCAGACCCAATGGTACCTGGACACATTAATTAGCGATATATTACTATGCCACTTGAATGAAAGTAGTGAAATTCAAAAACAGCAGAAAAGAACATCGAGTTTACTTACAGCATAAATTAGAAATACACGGTGCCCCAAAACAGATACCTTGCGTAGGTACTGAAAGAGACGAAGGAGAAAGTATATTAGAGAACACACGATGTAAACATTAAAAGAAAGGATGATCTTATAGGATGCTCAACTTCAAATCAGCGAAAACAGTTTTATGATGGCATGACAAGTAGAAACGGAAGATCACCAAAGAGAAAAAATGGAAATACTGGAAGAAAACCTACTAGGGAAAACATAATAACCAATAGAATCTGCACCATGCCAATCTCAAGACATGCACCCATTTGCGGGAAACCATAGCTGTAGAATGAAAGTCCAACAGCAGCAATTGTTGGGGACACAACCACTGGGTTAATCAATCTGAAGGAGCAAGACACAAGTGGTAGTTAGTTTCGTAGTACATGGTAAATAGAACTCAAAAGGCAGCGAGTGTGCTAAACCTAGAAAAACAAAAATGATACTCGTTAGCATCTTGCTTATCAAAGTCGGTATCAACATATAACAATGACCTTAACATATAGCGAATAAAGATCTCTCTCACCATCCACAAAAGGTCATTAAAGCCACAAAAGTATGTACATATGAAACTTCCAACAGACTAGACATGTCAAACAGAAGAAGATAATGCATTGGACCACAAACTTTGCTGAGAGAATCGTCTAAGGCTATTTGACGGATAAACGGAACACATTATGCATAAATATCGGCTACACAAGCCCATGGAAAGTCCTTTCCACATCCATTTCTATGTACGTGAAAACTAAATGGGGAGACAAAGAGCCTCATCCCAAGTCCTTCTAGAGTCTTGGATTGGGAAGTAAAAATCAGAATTAGTAGGACAACAAAGCATATGCTGAATTAATAATAGAAAGCATTTTAACTCATGATACTTCATGCAATCTGCTTGTCGGCAGACTGTAAATAAACATAAATAAAAACCATTTGTATTATATTTTTTAAATGTGTAGACATGATTTCAAACCCACATTATGCTCAGAGAAGAGCAAACAACTAATGATAGGAAGTGATCCACACCTCAAGAGTAGTGTCATCAGTCCACTGTATCCAAGTAATGCTTGAAAAGCTGATGCAATAATTATAGCCCCCTGTAGCTCCTTCATTATATGCTTGAAATTCTGTAGTATCAAGGAAGTAAATTTCACATGTCTGATTATTCATTTTACTAAAGTATGAGATCTCAAGGCAAGAACTTTCTACAGATAACCGAGACACCGAGGACAGGGTAGATTAACGTTTTTGGTATATAGACAGCAGAGAATAAACAGTTTATAATAAGCAGAAGAGCTCCACTTAAGTAGAAAAACATAAAAATAAAATATGGTTCTTCCCACATCATGAAATGGTCCAATTTTAAAGGCAAACAATTGTGTCAAGGTTGCAAGGCATGAACACTTCCACAATATTTAGGGCCCGGTTAATCAATAAGAAGCATAGTTTATTTTCATCTTAATAGTTTCCATTAGATGATAATGCTAGTAAGACGTTTCTTCCAAATCATATGACATACAAATATGGTACACACCATACTGGATCCAAATAAGCTTCCCTCATGGAACTAACAAGAGGCAAGCACAAAAGCCAACTTGATCGTTTGAGAATAATATTCTTATAGTAGCCTAATACAAGAGACATGCATGATTGAAAGGGGCTAAATAGCAGATTGTTCTATGACTAATCTATATATGTTGATATACTTTTACAATAGCAACCACTGTCATTACTCCTAGGGCTCAAGGAAAATATTTGACGCAAAGATTGTGAAGATGAGGAATGAGTATTGATTATGCCAAAAAAAAAAAAAAAACTGTTTGTGCACAATTGAACAAGGAGAAAATATTAACTAGAAAATTCTTGTGCCTTGTAATTGTCAAATTAGTCCCCATGCCAAGTGAGGGCTTCACCTGGCAGAGGTATTGCCAGATGGAAGGCCTTATGTGTGTAAGCTTGTGTCACCTTCTTGGGTCCCCCTTGAGGGATGCATGTTCAGGGTAAAGCTTGAATTTGGTAGTAAAGGTCAAATAATCACATTAAAATGTATGGACCACTTGCAACCTCTTTCCTTTGCGAGTTATACAACTTATACTGATTATTCTTTCTTCTTGTTAATAATGCCGAAATGAACTGCCAATTTTGAAGTAAATATCAAACAAATTGATGACCGAGAGTTTCAAGATAAAAAGCCAATCAGTCGATAGTAACCACCATCTATATGTTATCAATTACATATATAGTCGGTGTTTAATTCTGTAGGCTACCTAGAGCTAGAGCCTCCTCACCTCTAGAAGACTTTTTGGCCTAAGATTAATGATTATGGTCCTACCCAGAGTTGTCATCTTCAAAGGGTTTATAGGAAAATAAGCAAATGTCACTAAAAAAGTGAAGGTCCTGAGCACAGAAACCATAAAACTTCGTTTATGACTCCCTGAATGACAAAACATTGTACCTTTTATGATGCTAAGGTGGGTTTCTCAATCAAATTCATCTAGCATAAACTATATAGCATTAGCTCATTTAAGCAAATACTGACCATTTACTAAAGAAAAGTTTATAATGTTTACAAATAAAGAAGGCTATGATTTGCCATGCTGTTAGGTAACATAACAAAAATACATACAAACATCTGCTTGAAACAAACTGGGTAAGGAAGGTAGAGCTTACATTTCCATTCAATCCAAGGAACTCAGGGGATTTTATTATTGCAAGCGCAGGAGCAAGAAAGACAAAAGATGGACCTTGTATGAGGGGTAATCTTGATCCAAAATTTGCTTGTAGAAGTGTGGTCATTCCCGAAACAAGAAGTACAGTGGAGACCACCATCGACGTATCCTCCTACACCCACTAATTTCCATCAGAATATTTCAAGTGACCATACCGACTTTCAAATATAATTAGCCTGACATGAGGTTCAATTGCTTACATGGTCGCCTCCCATTGCCGGAACGATCACAAGCGGAATTAAAACCAGCGAACCCAGCATCGATAGATAGTGCTGGAATCCATAGAAACCAATAGGAACTGAAGACAATTCACAAAAATCAGTGCAGACTATTAGACACATGTATGCTGTAACACGTTAAGTCAGTAATGGCAGAGATATCAATACAATCAGCAACATATGCTCATGTTAAAATCATGAAAGTTAATGACGGTTTGATGTTGAGACAATTGCACACACAAATTCGAACTGCTCTTTGTTAGAATGACAAATTTACTCTGCTAGAGAACATACAGTTGCTAATGCACAGCAAGTCAGGCATCAATACATAACACGCTCTGAACACATGGTAAAATTTGAAATTTTGCAATACATTAGGAGCTTGATACTATTTACCTAGACCAGGAGTGTCTCGAAGCTCATACTTCATATGCGAATGACGAGACACCAATTCATCATCAACCACTTGTGGCAACACATTTTCGACATCCCCATTCCTCACTGCCCTCCTACTCGGCTGAGGGGGGGCCGGCGCCGGCGTCTCAGTCGCAGCAGCAATTCTCGCATGTCCATTAACACCATGCTTCGGCGGTACCGGTGCAGGACTGCCCTCCGCCTCTGTCCTTTTCTCCACCGACTGATCCTTGTTAGATTGCAGCTGCACCTGTGCATTAGCCGGCTGCGGCGTTGGCGCCGTGCCGTTCACGGCAGAAATTGGGCGTACACGACCAGCTTCAAGATCAAGTGGAGCAGGAGAGGGGGTGGAAGCGGGAGAGGGGTTATTCGTCCTGGCAAACTGACCAGAATCACTAGCATTGGTCTCGCCGGAAAACCTAGGGCGGAAGCCGGTGCGTTTGGCCCAGGAAGAAGGAGGCATTGCGGGTGCATCGTTGGAATCTTGACCAGGAGGCCATGGGCCTGGTTTAGGACGCTTTGTAGGGTCTGAACTCTGCGCCATGCTTGCTTCCTTGTTTAGCTGTCGTTAATTCATAATAGTAGTAGATCTGGGGTTAGGGTTTTAAACCAGAACAGAGAAGATATCCGTCCACAAATGGAGTGAACTAACAAACAGTAGAGCAGATTGTCGCCATTGTTGTTGAAGAAGTTGAAGATCCCAATCCCATGGTGCTAGAGAGATGAAGATATATGCGTGTGTGAGTAAGAGTTAAGTAGAGTGTGTGTGCTTTTGGGAGAGAGAAGAGGACAGCTAATATAACAACTGATTACACAGAGAGAGAGAGAGAGAGAGAGAGGAAAACGGTGTGGAGCGTCAAGGAGTGAAGGGGAAAACCGCGTTTTATGTATTACTCCCTGTAAGATGTTTCTAATCAATATTCACCCTCTATCTTTTTAAACTTTCTATTACTAGTCCATCAACTTTATTTTTGTTTTTAGAACCTACTTTTGTACTTTTTTTTATCACATAAATATCAGATATTTAAATTAAAAATTAAATAAAATATCATTTTACACCAAAAAATTTAATATTTTGTTATCAATTTTTTAAATGAAAATTTTAATATTTTGTTTTGAACATGTCTAGATTTGTTCTTCAATGGCCCAAATGGAAAACATTAGGGTACGAAAGAATCCAAGAAATGAATAAATTTTAATAGAGACATTTAGGGACTAAGCATACAATTAGTAAATTCAGGAGGGCCAATTATGTAGTTCATAATAGTTTCTTTTAATCGTGTGCTGTTTCACCCTTGCCCTATCTCTACTCTAGCTATCGTCTGTTTGTATGGATGATGTCATGTTATCATGATCCCTGATTCCATACATCGCATGTTATATTTTTGTCACATTCCATGGCAATGAACACCTCAAAACAACAATTTCATTTTCAAACTCAATTTCGCATGTTTAATGTTTTTTTAATATTATTTAATACCTTTTATAATATTAAAATACACTTCTTTTTTGTTTTGAGTTATATGCATTTTGTATTGGTTCATTGTATGTAAAGATTCATTTAAAAATATATATTTTTGATTAACAATAACTTTTTTCTATTAAAAGTATTTTAATTTTTAATCAAAGTTTAGTCATACTATTGTTTATTTTTTAAATATCCAGGACGAATTAAAAAGTTAAGATGTAATTGTAACAATATTTTATATATTAAACTTTTTTTACAAATCCAAAAAAACGAAAGAATTTTGGTATTTATACATATGTATATTTGAGTTATAAATACGTACCAGTTGTAAATGCCATAATAATTCTCTAAAACTACAAGTATCAAAAACGTTACAAAAATTTATTTGTATTTGATAGAAACTTAAACACGCCACAACAAATTTACAAGATGAGTTAGTCGTCGTTTTATTCAACACTCATCTATCATCTCATTTATCCCTGTATAGCCTTTTTGCCTGGGCATACATATATTCTTGGCCCCTCTTTTACCATTTTTAGATTATTTTGTGTATCTTATAATTTGGTGTCTACTCCTTGTCTTGGTAATCCTGATGTATCTTTCAACAACAACAAGATGTGGTTCATTAAGTGTTAACATTAAACACCTACTAAGATAGGATGTGTACCCAACAATTCTAATGGCTCTGCTACAAGATAGATAAAGCTTTAGCTTTGAGCAATATACAACTCCAAAACGATCAGGGGCTAAAAAACAACACTTTCAAGATTTTAGACCTCAAACAAAAAATAAAATTTTAACCCCATAAAAATAAACAAATACGAAGAAAAACGACAACTTTAAGAGCAACTATATAAAACTCGTTAGTATTTTAATGTAGCACATAATTAGTAGTGATAAAATAAGAACGTGAATGAATTGAATAACACAACATGAAAACTAGGAAAATATTTAGCGAGAACTTTGGAAAAAAAGAAGAATAAAAAAAACTATGAGAAAACAAATGAAAAATATATCAAAATAAATTTCAAATTAAAGATGATAAAGTGATCTTTTTTTTTTTTTATGTAATTTGTTTTGCTTCATTTTTTTTCTTGTATTTTGTTGGTTTTTGAATTATAAATTCAAGGGATATAAGTATATATATATACTATATTATAAAGCATTTGGTTAAAACTTTTAAACTCTTTCCATATCTGAATTCGTGTAACTAACTACAGATAAACACAATCAAATACAGGATAAACATCTCATTTTAAATATAAAAAAATCTAAAATATAATTAGTATAATCATTAAATTCTAACAGAATACTTAATTATTATCTTTATAAAATGTTATATTATTAAACCAAAAATAAATTATTTCATTATTAAACTTAAATTAAATTATAAAAAAAACAAATAATCTATACTATATTATAAAGCATTTGACATAAACTCTTAAAATCTATTTTTTATGCGTAAAGTACTGTTTATTAATGCATATTACTTAAAACTCAAAATTACAAATAGATTGTGTATAAGTACAACTTATTAAAGCTCCATACCTGGATTTTTGTAACTAATTGCAAATAAACATAATCAAATACAAGATAAACATCTTATTTAAATATAAAAAATCTAAAATATAATTAGGATAATTATTGAGTTATAACAGAATACTTAATTATTATCTTTGTAAAATGTTATATTATTAAACAAAAAATAAATTATTTCGTTACTAAACTTAAATTAAATTATACTTATAAAATAAATTAAAGAAATTATATAAAAAATGAGAATTTTTATTTTTTTTTTCAAAATTTTATGATATCTTCAAATTTATATTTTATTCAAAAATAAAATCATTATTACTTTATTAAAAACACATAAAGTCATATTATAACATCGAGAGAGACAAATAATAAAATAGAACATTAAAATCGAGACGTGTCTCGCTACATTACACGAGTACTCTTCTAGTATGTATTATAAAAGTTAGTTACGAGATACTTAAGACGTTAGCTACAACAATATACTTACAATTGCTAGATAATCTAAATTTAATAATTTAAATGGTTTTTTGTTTTATTTTAAAAGAATTATTTAAGGATCTCATGCCTATCTCTATCACTCAATGGATAAGTTTTCAATCCTGATTAAATGTTTTGGGTATCCAAGCCGCGGATCTAAACATTTACTTTTCTTTTTTAAGTTTGGAGGATGTGAAACAAATAAATTGAAATAATAATGGACTAGTAGTATACCCGTGCAATGCGTCAAATTTTCTAATAAATCTACAACTAAAAAAATTAGTGCAGTTATTATTTAAAAAGTACAAAAGTTATATTTAAACATTCGATCTTTTAAGGGAACCTTTAGAAATATTTAAACCTCGATTCCTATTAGTTGAGTACCCATCTAATGCAACGGGATGTAATCAAGTACAATGTAACAAATAAGAAATCAATGTGAACTTTATTGAACACACACATGAAAATCAACTATGTTGTCCAAATAATTATAATAAAGGAAGAAACAAACTTCTAGTGAATACATTTGAAAAACAAATAAATTATCTTATACAAATCGAAATAGAAACCAATATCCTAATTAATCAAAATGAACAAAAATCAACACCTACCGCCTCTAGATCAACTGCACCATAGTCCAATCTCCACGTTAATAACCACCATGAAAGCATCCATACCGAACTATCCAATGAGTCTACAAAATACCTTCTGCATTCCACAAAATCCAAGGTTGTTTTAGCATTGTTTATGCAAGATGGGAGTGGGACTTGAGAGGTTATTAAAACATACGATAGCCATTTATTATCCCATCACTAATTATTGAAAGAGAATGTACATCAAACTCTATTTAGTCAATAACAACTATAAAACTGAATCATTCAATGAAATGGCACTACATATATAATTGTTCTTGATTCCCAACATCTACACATTGTGGAAACTCCTATCTGTTCCCACAGACCATACTACAAGGACATGTATAGCAAAATTATCCCAAAGAAAAAAGGCAAACAACATTATCGATAAAGACAATGCACTTGGTAGTTATACCTGAGGACCCCCTCCTAGACCAGCTGAAATTATAGCAGAAGGTGCAGACCATGAACCAACTGCTTACCCAACCTCCCCTTAATGTAATTTATATTTTTAATTGGTTGTTAATTTTTCTATAGAGGATTTTATTGTAATTATATTTGAAGGGTTAGATTTGATTATAATTGTTTTCTCCAAAATAATGCAATTATAACGACTGAGTGATCACGTAATTTAACCAGACTCTTCGACTAATAATCATATATTCTATATGTTGTTTATAAAACAAAGCTGACAACACTTGGATACTAAAATCAATGTCACATATATCTTATAATGATTGCTAACGAAAAATCAAGTAAATAATCTGAATCATAACAAAAACTGTTACTTTTTGGACAGCCAAAATGGAAATTGCTTGAATTTTTGGATGGAGGGAATACAAGGTTATATATAAGCATGTACGACCCAAGGCATACCTTTCCAACTCGTGGTCGCTCTTTCAATTTTTCGAGGCTATTCCGAATATGAGAAACCACTCCCCAGCATTTCAACGTATTTGCCACATCATCAAGCATTAACAAGTACTCTTCTTCGGTCAGAGGAAAAGATCTCTATCAGACAAAATCCATAAGCAGAATATCATTAGGCAGCTAACAACAAAATGTGGAAGCATTATCCAGCATTTTTGGATTATAAATTGATGCAAGAGTCACATTTAAGGGTCTATAACTGTGGAACATTATCTCAATTCAAAAGTCACGTTTAAGGGCCGGAACATTATTTTCGAGGATAAGCAGTAGCTTACCTGCTCCATATACTTCCACAAGACATTCAATGCAAGGAGATTTTTACCCATGAATTTCTATACCATATAAAACCAAAATTCATATGTGAAGTGTCAACAAATAGTCTAAGAATCCATAAGTGCATTTAATTACATAGCAGTAATAGAGGGGAAAAGGAGGAGAAGTCAATGGAATAGTGTCATTAGGAATGATTCTGAAAAGTGGCCAACAAGAGAAAGGGAAACATTAGACGAAGAAAGAAAATAGAACAGAGAATAAATAGTTTACATCCGGGTTTTCATTCTTTTTACTTTCCTTCCCGAGAATATGGTGTATTGGCATGTTTAATAGATGGATGCACGAAAGACTACAAATATGTGTTCTTTGATATAAAAGATGCCATTTTTCTTCATCTGTTCCATTTCATATTTTCAGTACTTTGATCTGAACTTTCAAGCCATACTTATTTACCAATCTAACAGATCATATCGTTAATCATGTAACCCTATTCTAGTTTGTTGGAAGTACAACCAACAAAACGAAGCCCATGTTCAAAGATCTAGTAGAAGAAGTTTAGGGTTCCATAATGCTAAACAAAAGAATCATAAAAAATTATAGAAAAACCAGAACGATAATCTAGATATTTGAACCACGTTCTTTGGTATCAACAAAACATACATACAAGACGCAAACTAATCATGAAAGCTTACGCATGAGGTGAATACAGGAGCAAAGAAAGTTATAACAGTACAAACCCAGTAACACATTGTTTCCTAAATCAATATGCAACCTCTCTATTTGGCCACAACTTTAAGAGGTGAAAGGGAGCAATAGAAGGTTGTGGCCAGGATAGTTTCACCAAATGGATCATGAGAAAGCTACATAACATACAGAAGACCATCATCATCAGTCAGAAAGCTTCCTAGTACCTATCAACAAAGAAAACAAACATAACCCTTCCCACCAGCATCTAAGTTGAAAGAATCAATATCAATATAAACAACCAACAAAAACTGGCAATAGAAATCGTGATGATCAACCCAATAGCCATTCATCACAAACTTAGACCTACAAACAAACAAGCAACTTGATAAATAATCAGGCAAGAACCATAATGAAGCTAAGAAGAAAATGACCTAAAGTTAGGAAAAAAAACACATAAGATATAACCATCCAATTGCTATGAAATGATGAATTGATGGCCAACTGTCCCTTGACAGCCAACAAAACCCTAGAAAAACACGAGAAATGATCTAATCATCCTTAAATGTGATACAAAAAAACAATGTATGAAAGGTAATGAAAAAGAGCAACCAACTACCAAGTAACACTTCGACCTATAAAGATACCACAGGGACCAGAACCACCTGACTGTATTGCAAACAACTGCAGATACAAGAACCTGGTTGTGAGTTCTTCAAGCCCAACAGTTTTATAAGAGAATGCATGAAATAAGTAACCACCAACCCTGCCATTTTGCAAATAACGATGCATCATCATGAATTCCTTGAATGACATTAACCCGTCCAAACTTTTTGCAGCTCCAACACCAGTGACCTGACTGCCCTCCCAAAACGAATAAATTTGCAATCAAAACAAAACCAAACAATAGAAGCTTCAATCGTCATCTTTTAAGGGAAAAGAAAGAAAAGAACATCATAAAATGAAAGAAAAGAACAGAAGCAGACGTCGATTTGGTTCATTAGGGTTTAAAGATGAACATAAGCTTCAATTTGGGAGTGAAATAAAACAATAGAAGCTTCAATTGTCATATTGGAAATGGATGAAAGCACATTGGGAGTCTGATTTGGGAGGATGAAGAGGCACATCGGGAGTTGATTTGGGAGGACGAAGCGGCAGATATATATATATATATATATATATAGAGAGAGAGAGAGAGAGAGAGAGAAAGGCTTGTTATCAACGTGTGCCAAAGGGGAAGGGTTGAAAAGTAAAGTAAAATGGTACTTTGGTCATTTAAAATTTTAAGACTTTAAGGCGACGTTTGTTTTATAAGAGGTTTTGAAGTCTGAAGTCTGATTTTACTTCTGAATTTTAAGAGGTGGTACTGAAATATGAAATATGAATCAGTCAGACTGTTTGTTTTTACGTCTGAAATCTGAATCAGTCAAGTTTTGGATCTGATAGATTTGGATCGATCTGGGTCATGATTTTACGAGAATATGTGGAGCGATCTGGGTCGTGATTGATTTGGAGATCGAATGTCTTGCGAGATAGATTTGGAGGACTAAATCTGGAGGTGAGGATGGAGGGGAGAGTCTGGAGGGAACGATTAAGAGGATTTAAGTGATTATATTATCATTTTTTTTCCAGAGCAAATTAAGAGCTTTTCAGCTCTTATTTATATATAAAAAACAAACGATCTGAAAATAAAAACGTTTAACTGGTTCAGACTTAAGAGACATTAAGTGGTTTTTTTTTTTTAAACAACAAGCCTTAAGACTTTTAGGGTGCGTTTGGTACGTTGGACAGGGTGGGACAGGACAGGACATAACACAATTGTCCTATGTTTGGTGTGGTTTTATGTGGGACTAACTAGAACAAACTAGAACAAGGGTGGGACAAGGTTGTCCACCCTTTACCCATGGAACTAAGTAGAACAAGAAACTTTTTACCACTTTACCCTCAAAAAC